AGTTCTAATTTCAAGTTATAAAATGGAGGTAAGATGAATAAAAAAATTAGAGAACCAACAAGAACTTAATCAAATTTGATATTCAATAATTTAAATTTTTTTTCTTTAATAAGAGTAAACAATTTTGAATTCAAGTTATAAAATACAAATAAGATAAATAAAAAGATTGAAAAACTAATAAAATTTTAATTACATTGATATTCAATAATAAGCAACTTTTAATTTGTACCCATGAGCGGGCGGATGAGTTGGTTGGGATTCTTTCAACTTAATCAGAGGTCTTGACTTCAAGCCCTGAAAATGCAGCTCCGTTAAAACTCATGAGGGAGAGTTTTGCCACCTATTGGGTCCTGTTTAGCTCGAATTTGGATTAATCAGTGGTCCAATGAGTTTCTGGATATCGGATGATCATACCAAAAAAAAAAAACAACTTTTAATTTGTTGTTAAAATTAAGGGTTAAAACATTATAATGTTAGATAGCTAATTTTTTAATATACCAAATAAACAAATGATAGAAAAAAATTAACTTCTATTACATAATCTGAATATAATTTTTTAAAAAAATAAATGTAGTATTAGTCCCTAAATATTAGCTCAGCCAAACTTTTATTGATTTGATTATGCTCTTTACTTGAAAAATAAGAGAAGGCTTATAATCAATTATTATCACTAACAGAGGGAGTTAGGGTTCAAAACTTAAGATTTGGTTGGGCCACCACGAGGTACTCTTCTGGTACTTCCTGATCTCTCTCAGAGCCACAGTTCCCGGCCTGAAACGGTGAGGCTTCTTCACTCCTCCGATGGCCGGTGCTGATTTACGAGCAGCCTTGGCGACAAGCTGCTTCCTCAGCGGCAAGCTGCTTCCTCGGCGCCTTGCCTCCGGTCGACTTCCTGGCTGTTTGCTTAGTACAAGCCATCTCAGGGAACAACAGTGAGATTCTAAGGAATTTTGGGAGAGGGGGAAGCGCGCTTTTCATTGCCGTCAATGAGAAGAGAGAGTGCAGACCAAATTCAATTCAAAATTGAAATTCAGGGGTTACAGGGTGAAATTGAAATACACTTATTTTACTCTTGAGAATTATATGGTTAAAATACATGTATTTCACTCAAATTCAATTACTTTTTGTTTATGTAAAAACAAACAGTGATATTGAATTTTAATCCTTCAAATTCAAATACATTGTTTCAAATTCGTGTTATCAAACAGATCATTAATATTTATAATTTCATTTATAAAATTTGAATTTAAAAACTTATTTAAGGATTCAAATTCCTCCCACCCGACAAACATGTCATTGGTTGAGTTGGATTATTATTATTTTATGTA